TCCGGAGAGGGTGTGAGAGGATGGGGAGGAGGTTAGGGGGAGTTGGGACTGGCTGTAGGGGTCCTGGAGAGTCTGCGATGGAGCGGGGAGAACGTCCGTGGGTCTTGGAGCGGCTTTGGGGGACTGGAAGTGGCTGTGAAGGGATGGGGACGCACTCTGAGGGTCCTGGGAGCAGCTGTAGGGGACAGGGCTGCAGCAGGGGGAGCGGCTGTGAGGGGACGGGGAGTGGGTCTGAGGGTCCCGGAGTGGCTGTGGGACCGCCTGTGAGGGACCTGGCTGCGGGGGTGCGGCTGTGAGGGTCCCAGAGCAGCTTTGAGGGGATGGGGAGTGGCTTGGGGGGAACTCCGAGAGTCCTGGAGTGGCTGCAAGGGGATGAGGGGCGGCTCTGAGAATCCCGGGGGAGCTGAAGGGCTGGCTCTGAGGTACTGTGGAGTGGCTGCCACAGGAGGGGAGAGGGTCCTGGAGCAACTGGAGGGGATGGGGAGCTGCTCTGGGGTTCTGTGAAGCAGGCCTGAGGGTCCTGAAATGGTTGTAAAGGGGTAGGGAAGGGCTGTGAGGGTCCCAGAGCAAATGAGGGAGCTGGAGAACAGCTGTAGTGGTCTGGAGAAACAGCTGCTGGGGGTCGGTTCTGAGGAGCTGATTCACGGCTGTGCAGGGACACGGCTGAGGGGTCACACGATACAGCCCAGGGTCACGGGTGCATGAGGGGTCTGGGGACCTCGGGGTGCCAGCTCTAGGAGCTGTGGAGGGTGCCTTGGCCAGCCCTGCCTGGATATGGCAGTGACTCTGGGGCCAGCAGTGTTGGACACTGGCCCACTGGGCTCTGCGCCCTCCGGCCAAGATGTCACCTAGGCGCCACAGATGACCTGGCATGCCTGCTCCTGCACAAAGGGCGCCGCGCGCAGCCCTGTGCTGCCAGCACCCACGGATGGGGCAAATGCCAGTGCTGCCCAGAGCCTTGTGTGCCAGCCAAGTGGCGACGAGCCTGGCAGCAGAGCAGGCTGCGGAGGGGGAGGGAAGAGGCAGCTCAGGACAGGACCTGCCCTTCCCAGGGCCATGCCTGTGGGAGAGGCTGAGACAGGCAGCCCCTTCCCACCCCATGACACGGAGAGAGAGGAAGATGTTCTAGGCACAGGAGAGGAGCCAGCCCTGGCAGAGCAATGCCACCTCCCCGGTGCTCGGCTTGTTGCCTTGTCCAGCTGGCCCTGTCTGCCCAGTGGAAGTGGCTGCCAGCCCGTGGGAGCTTGTGTGGGGTGCCCTGGCAAGGCGCTAAGAAAGGGAATTAGTCTGGCACCTGCCTGTAGGTCTGTCTCTGAGCCAGTATGATGGCTGTGACGTTTGGGCTGCATCCCCATGCTGTACTGTGTGGCTGTGAAGCCCCGCGCTCCTGCAGTTGTGAGCAGCACAGCCTAGCCAGCTGTTTTTGCCAGAGAGTTCACACCTGATTATTGAATATAGAACTGCCTTTAGCCAAGAGTTCCCCCAGAGCAGGGGCTGGTGCCAGGCCTGGGGAGGCACAAGGGGCCTCAGGCTCTGGCAGGGCAGGGGACGAAGGGCACTTCATTACACCTCTGGACCTTGGCCCCAGTGAGAGGCCCTGGCCAGCCCGCCTGCAGAGTGCTTGTGCCCTTAGGCCAACTCCATGCAGCTGCTGGCCACACACAGGCTGCTGGCCCTGCAGTGATCAGCAGTGACCACAACCTGATCAGCCCATCCCATGCCTGCCTGCCTCCTGCCCTTCCTGCAGACCTGGGACTGCAGGCAGTGGACCGTGTCCCTGCGTGGCTCTGCCTGCCCTGCCCACTTCATTTGCCTCAGACTGTGACCAGCCATAAGCTCTGGTCCCTGACGTCCAAAATCCACCTGTGGGGACTGCAAGCGGGCCCCTGCACCCCTGCTGCTGCCTCATATTGGAGACAGTGGCTGTTCCCAGCGTCCTGCAGTGTGTCCCACGACCCAGCTGTGCCACGGCTTCTGTAGAGGGAGCTGGGCCTGAACCCTGACAGCAGCCCTTTGCCCTCCTTATCTCCTGGGGCCTTTGACCCACATGTGGTCTCTGCAGTGCGCAGAGTATGCTCCTCTGTCCCAGCCAGCTTCCGTGCCTGTTGCCGTTGCCTCTGGTGATGGTGGGAAGCGTTGGGCTGCTACAGGCAGGAAGGGGAGCGCCTGGCCTCCCTCCTGGCCTGCTGTGGGGTTCTCTTCCTGCCTATGGGATTCCTACACCAGGGAAGAGGGGAAGTGGCTCTGGAGGCCTGCCACAGAGCCTGGCTGTGATTTCACCAGCCCAGCTGCATCCCTCTGAACAAACCCACACTGGGCACTCACTCACCCACACACACCTTCCACCCTGAGGTGGCCCGAAGAGCAGGCACTGCCCTTCACCTTGGGGCTGGCTGTTGAGGGCAGGGCCTGGGAGGTGCTGCCGGCAGGTGCCTGGGCACTCCTCTCTCCCTCACTGTCTCCACCCCTCAGGTGCCAGGCTGGGCCAGTCTGGTGTGGGGTGTCAGGAGCTATTGCTGTTGGCTCCTGTGCAAGTGCTGTTAACCTGGCACATGTTCAAATGCACACCTGCTCAGTGCGCTTCTATCCCTGCCCAGCCCAGCGCTGGGCTGACGCTGCTGCGCTCTGCCCCAGGTCCACCTGCAGACACAGCAGGAGGTGAAGATGCGGATGATGGGGATGGCGATGCACGTGATCCGCACCGACGGCTTCCTGGCTCTCTACAACGGGCTCAGCGCCTCGCTGTGTCGGCAGGTGAGCGTGTGGAGCTCCTGCAGCACGTGCTGCAGCTGACGAGCTGCCCTGTGCCAGGGACACAGTCGCTCATTTCCCCCTCATCCAGATGACGTATTCCTTGACTCGCTTTGGCATCTATGAGAGTGCGAAGAACCACCTGGGCAAGGGCAAACAGGGGCCTCCCCCCTTCTACCAGAAAGTGCTCTTGGGTGCAGCAGGAGGTGAGCCAGGCAGTGAGGCCCCTGGCCCTGGCTCCCTCAGGATGGATAAGCCCCTGACCCAACTCTTCTTTGGCCACAGGTTTCGCTGGCGGGTTTGTGGGGACCCCAGCAGACATGGTGAACGTCAGGTCAGTTCTGTCTGCACGACTGGGGCTTTTGGCCCGTGCATGACAGCATTTGGGGTGGTGGGTACTGCTGGGGTGCTCCAAACATCTCTCCTGGCTGGCCTGCCCCCATGGTCAGTGAGCCTGGAGCTCTGTGCCCGCCATGGCCAGAGCTGTTCTGCCTTTTGGTGACAGCACCCAGCCATTTGTGACCCTCAAGGGGAGTGAGACGGAAAGCAGCTTTCTTGGCCCGTTGTAAATGGGCAACACAATTCCACTGCCCTGTGCTGGGGTCCCCGGCGCTGCAGGGGACGGTGGGGTACCGGCTCCCCCCTCACCTGCAGTGCTCTACCTTCTAGGATGCAGAATGATATGAAGCAGCCGCCGGCTCAGCGGCGCAAGTGAGTGAGGGGCCGGGGCAGAGGAGGCCTGGAGGGGCCGGGGGGACGGCGGGAGGCGATGGGAAGGGATCGGGTGGCCGCGGGAGGGCAGCACCGCACCGGCGGCACGGCCCGAGCACCGCGGCGGGGTCTGGGCCGGGG